AAAAAAAAAATTTTTTTTTAAATAATAAAAGAAAAAGCCCTTTTTTTTTTAAGCTCTACACCAACATGGGGCTTGAACTCATGACCGTAAGATGAAAAGTCACATGCTCTACCAACTGAGCCAGACAAGCACCCACCAAAAATGTGTCGTTTTAAAGTACTGAGCACTTTACTAGGATCCAGAAACTGTTAAGCACCAAGAATATAAGCAGACAAAATACTGCTACAATCAGGACTCAGTAAGTGAGATTCGAAATTCACAGTCTCCTCTTGATTGTTCATCCTAGAATGGTTTTACCTACTGCTAACATTATAATGACCTCTCTGATAAGGCACACAGTCCAGTTCAACTAAAGAATTTGGACCAGGGATAAATTGTTATCAAACAATGAAGATGGATGAGAAACCCTGAAATAATAATTATCAACTGACACTCGACCTTACTAGTGGAAAGTGAAGAACAGCAGGGACTATGGCAAAGTAGGGGTGTCCATGGCCAGGCTAAAGGGAGAGCTGCTACCCCATCTTCAGCGCACTGTTGCCACACAAAATCCCATGTTATCACATAGTCCTGTTTTTCAAGTCAGAGTAGATTTTTACATGAAGTTTTCCAAGTTGTAAAATGTTAGCAACTAATTTTTTGTTTTAAGCTTACAAGGCCAAACAAAACACATCTGTGGGTGCACCGATGTGCAGCCTCTGATTCAGTCTGTTAAGGAATTTGTATTTGAAGTTGATAAACAATCACTTTAATAGACGTCATTTAAAATGTCAATATTTTTAAGGTAGGATGTAAGTGAAGAAAGCGTGAAAATTTGCCAACAACAACCAGAAAATCAGAATTGTTTATTAACACCTAGAAAGCTTTCCAATCTTCATTCTCTGAAGAGCCCTATATTTACATTTATTTAATTTACATTTAAAACTATAAGCAACATTAGTTCTGTTAGGCCATATGATACCTATGAATGAGAAGTCCTTATCCTTTTCATTTCAGAGCTCTAGAACCTCAAGGCATAAACAGGTTTAATCATTTACCAATCCAAGAGCAAAGACCAGATTGAAATGCTGCAAGGTCTTGCCTTTGTTTCAGCAGCTGTGTTTTAATAAAAAGCATAGTGTGAATGTGTGAGAAAATGTTCTAAAGAACACCTTTGTGGGTGCCTGGGTGGCTCAGTCGGTTAAGCCTCCAACTCTAGATTTTGGTTCCGGTCATGATATTGAGGTTCATTCATGATCTTGAGGTTCGTGGGATGGAGCCCCAGGACTTGAGCTGACAGCACAGAGCCTGCTTGGGATTTTTTCTCTCCCTCTTTCTCTGCCCCTCTTCTGCTCGAATGTGCTCTCTCTAAAAATAAATAAATACACTTAAAAAAAAAAAAAAAGAACACTTTTGCAGTCTGGGGAATTAGGAGACCTTAAAAAATGCAGATTCAGAGGTGCCTGTCTGGCTCAGTCAGTAGAGGTGCAACCCTTGGTCTTGGGGACATGAGTTTAAGCCCCACAATGGGCATATGGCTTACTTAAAAAAAAAAAAAAATGCTGATTCAAGTCCAGAGTTCACTTGAGACATCAATAGGCCACTACAGAAGAGGGAACCTTTGTGGGGCCCACTCATATCTCTTGTTCTTTGAGAGATTAAGATGCAATGATGGAGGGAGTGTGAGGCTCGAGGAGCAATATTTATGAAATTAAACTAGGAAAGCTGAAGGACTGGGGCTTTAGTTTCCATCTAGGAACTCTGCACTGGCCATATATTATGAACCATGAACCTGAGAATAGTGTGAAATTTCCAGATCATTTATAGCTGGCGATGGTCTTCACAGCTGACCCTAGGGTTTCTCTTGGAGAGAGAACTGTCTATGGGGAATTACCTTGATAAGCCTGAAGTAAACTGTTCCAAATTAAACAAACAAGAATTTAGGGATTTACTCTGGTTTTCTGTGAGAAGGAGAATGCAGAAAAAAGGATCTGTAGAAAACAGAAAGGATCTGAATGGTCCTTAAAGGTTCCCATTTCAATTAGGGCAGTACCTAGACAGGGCTTGGCCTCCTGGCCAGTAGATTGCCCAGTAAGGATCGCTGTAGGGCCACAGGTCAGCTCTTTGCCACCAGAACTTGCAGCTTGGCGTCAAAAGCCGCAACCGGATCTCAGGAGTGAGGCTGCCTCTGTTGGTGACTTCAGTGTTCTCTTCCAGGAAAGCTTTCATCTCAGGATCCAAAACGTTTCCAGTTCTTCTCCAGGGGCTGTGGCTCCAGGGAAACAAGGGAAGACCATTGCTTCTCACAGCTTTCAGAAAGACACCAGAGTGGTTCACAGGAAATGGTGCAAATGTTCTCCCACCCAGGCTCAAAGCCATCAGTCCTTTTCCAAAACACAGGTTCTGTCAGTGATGCTGTTGACAAGAGCTGCCGCTCCTCATGAGGAAGGAAGGGTCTGGCTGCCACACTGATCTCAACTGGAAATCTGTGCGTCTCTAAAAATAGAAATAAAGCTGAAAATTCCAAGGCTCACTGACACGTCCAAATCCCATTACACAGTGAGAAAATATTACGGTGTAAGCTCTGTAGCAGATGATTCACAAGTGCAAGTCCATTTCAGATGGAAGTGTTGGTGCATCAATTTAGGAAAATACAACCTTTCAAAAAGGAAGCCTTTTCACAACAAAAGCCTTTTAATAATTTAGAACAACAAATATACACGCACTTGAATCTGAGAGAAATCCTTGGCAACATGCCTGTTACATAAAGTAAGGTTTACCTTTAAAGTGCTTTCACACATTGAATAAATCACTTACCTTTAAGCACGCACCCTGAACAAAATAAAAGTCTGCGGCTTCAGGAAGCTTAGATTCTAGTGGGTGAGGCAGAGTTATTACCAGGGCAAACACTGGTCTTGCTTTTATGAAGCCTTGCCAAGAGTTGTGGAGGTTAACAAACTATAACTGCCTGTGGACAAAGACATATAAATCATACTGAGTACACTCTATTTCAATAAAAATTGTTGTAGCATAAAACATCAATGTAATCAAGATTCAGATGTTTTCCTTAAAAGAAAACTTTGTGGATTTAATTGTCACAAAAGAATATCAACTCCCAAATATCTTTCTGTAAATATCTCTGATGACTCATCTTTCCCAAGCCTGGGCCAAAAACGCTTGTTCCAACAGAAAAACACCTTGAATGAGAATAAGCGAGAGTAAGGAACAGCAGTTTAAACACGAACTATACACCCAGTTACTTGGGACCTCTGATCTGTTCTACATAAATGTTTTAAATAGTCATATATCCATCCACTCCAATATTTAGAGGAGGGGCCCCAAACTCAAACCCTTACTAGGGTCCAGACTCGTGATGAGTGATGCCAATGGTTGTAACAGAAAGACTTTAGCGAACTGGAGATGGTTTCTCAATAGTCCAAAGAGGCCAGCAAACTGGTCAGGGAAGAACACACTGCCAGATCTTCCCAAGATAATAACCCAGATATTTACACATAAACTCCCACTTGTAAATGCAAGCGATCAATTAAAATATCAAAACACAGGGCAGGCTAAAATACCTGTCAGGCCACTTGTGTGAACTCGGTACAGACTTCCATCGGGTGTTAATCATCTCCGGATCGTGCCCTCGGGATCCCAGGTCTCTAACAGCCTGCCTTCTCACTGGACTCCTTCTATTAGAAGTATCGGGTCAGCCCTTGAATTGCACAAGCCTAAGCTTAAAAATACAGCAGAACAAACGTGAAACTGGTTTTGGTTTGGGACACCATGTCTTCTAGACCGACGTTTCCCCCTCCCACTCCAGCACCAATGAAGCATCTGTTATGAACACGCGACTTACGTAGAGGATACTTGGTACTACTATGCACTGTTAAGGAAAGAAGGGGAAGTTCAAAAGGGTAAGTCCCAAATGTGTGTGTGACCACGTTATTTCCCTCCAAGGAGAACAGGAGTCAGCCTTAAAGGGGCAGACACAGTCCTCTTCTTACCAGGCTGGGCTAACAGGGCCCAGGGAAGCTAAGCCCCCGGCCCCAGTGCGTCTTTTCCTGCGTTTTTTAGAAGCGCGCCTGGCGCTTGCGAGCCCCCGCGTGGAGGTTGACGCACTGCTCCGGGTGGCAGAGGGCCCCGCCCTCCTTCCCAGCAGCCTCTCTCTCCCTTTTCCTACCTTTCTTAAAGGGACAGGGCTTCCGGAGGAGGTGGCGCTCCACCTCCCTCTGGGAACCGGGGACCGCCAAACTCTGATTTCTACAAAATCCAGTCAAACTGGAGCATCTGCTTTGTGCCAGGCACGTGTTGGAGAGGAAATAGGTTTCTCTTCCTTTCCTCTACCCTTCAAAGCTTCTTCCAGCTGATCTTAGTCTTAAATTGACATTAAATACATTAACAGAAGAAGACCAAATTGAATTTTGTACCTATGGGGAATGCCAGGTACAGGAGAAATGAAAAGGCAGGAAGATAAAATGAGGATATATGTCATCCTGAACTGAGGAGAAGGGAGTTTGGGACTTCAAAGGGAAGGAAAGCAATTCACAGAAGATGAAAAGGAGTAAATGTTTGGTAAAGAAATGTTTGCTGCCCCATAGGAAACAATGGGACATAGAGAGGAATTTTAAGACTGCTAAATTCCTCCCTAATCACATCTAATTCATCTTATACTATAGTCATCTATGGTGATAGCTCTCTTCTGGAGCAGGTCCTCTTTTTAAATTCTTTTAGGCAGTTAGGGGAGGTCAGTTTCTTCCTGAGTCTTTTTTGTACCTTGATTGTTTTCAGCTCAGAAATAATCTGCAGGCCAAAGTGGCATACCTTGGGGCAATTCCTTCTGAGCCCTTTCACACACTTCTAGGCACCCTGCATAAAATGGTGAGCAAAATAGTCACAGTATAAGCCTTTTATGACGCTTACCTTCAACTGAGATTAAATCATGATGTATGTCTTCCCTTTTACAATAATTTTCATAAATGTACAATGTAAATCTGTTTGCAACCTATATCACTCGAGTTCTGGACCCATATGTCCATCTTCCAACCTTCAACTAAATATAGTCCAAAATCAACTCACCATCCCTCCTGACAACAATTAAAACCTGCTCTGCTGTGCCAAAGGAAAGGAAAATTGACCCCAAATGAAAAAACAGACAAACCATGTTTCTGCGTCTTAGTTTGCAGTATCTGGCAGCCACCTTTCAAAATTAGAGCTCGTTGCTTCTGTTTTCCATTTCTGCCCTCAGTTTATGGGGTTTCCCATTTTCCCTGTAAACTGGAACTTCTAGGAACTACTAGAAGGGAATGAAACTGTTACTCCAGTTAACAAGCCCAGATGCATCCTTATCGTTTCCTTCTTGCATGAATAGCTATACTTATTTTAAATTGGTAGGCTACACACCTAGCATTTCTGAGTCATTCTGCCCTAGATTTCCTCTATAAAACTAATGACTGTGAATAAAACTCTATTTATTAACTAGCTACTTTTTAAAAAATTAGCTGTTGATGTAAACCTTTGTTTTCTCAACTATAACTTCTTATTTCCACATGCTCTCCCATTCCCTCACTAGCAATAAACCTTAATACATGTTCAAGATCAATTTGTCAAAGAATTATTTTTAACTAGCTTCTGTGTTCTATCCCAGTGAATAGCATGAACAACCCAATTGTTGCCCAAGACACCAGGGAGAAGAAGCAAGCCTAATGTTGCTACAAAAGAGGATTTGTAGTAAAAATCTAAGTGCTCAAGGGGCGCGTGGGTGGCTCAGTCAGTTTAGCATCAGATTCTTGGTTTCAGCTCAGGTCACCATCTCCCGGTTTCAAGAGTTTGAGCTCTGCGTAGGGCTCTGCACTGACAGTGCCGAGGAAACTGCTTGGGATTCTCTCTCTCCCTGTCTCTCTGCCCCTCCCCAACTCATGTTGTCCCTGTCTCTCTCAAAAATAAATCAATAAACTTTAAAGAAAATCTAAGTGCTCATCACTGAAGATGCATTTAGTAATGTGAAGCTACTTTAACCAACACTTGGAACTAGGTAAAGGGACTGCTCAATGTCCTTTCCCCACCTTAATATTTTTTTAAACGTTTATTTATTCTTGAGAGAGCTAGCGCATATGAGTGGGGGAGGAGAAGTGACAGGGAGACAGAGGATCCAAAGCTGGCTCCGTGCTGACAGCAGAGAGCCTGATGTGGGGCTCCCAACTCATGAATCCTGAGATCATGACCTGAGCCGAAATCAAGAGCTGGTAGCTTAACACACTTAGCCACCCAGCTGCCCCAGCCCACCTTAATAATTTTAAAATTGATCCACTTTCTATTCTTAGAACTAGTCTCTCTCCAATCCTGCCTTCCTCTCTTTCTCTATGGTACAACTTAAATGTTTTTTCCTGGGCTATTGTATATTCTATAGTCCAGAAAAGGCCTTACATTCCTATAAGATAAGATAGACCAGATAAGTCATGAAAAACAGACATGGATTTTTCTTTCTGTTGTTGCTTGGTGTTGATGTATTATTATTTCTTAGTTAAAAGAAAGAACTGTCTTGTTTTTATTAAAATTGACCCAAATGCTACCAAGCAGACTTGTCAAGTGTCTAATAACAATTGAGCTATCATTTGACTTTATGATTTTTACCTCTAAATATCTGCCTACATTTTTCTTTTTCTTCACAGAGCCAGCTCTCTAATAAGCAGACTCTCTTGCAAGTGCAAGTAAAAAATCTTGTTCTGTACTGAAATTTGTCTTCAAGGGTTTTTTTAGTCAATTATACTTATTAGCTAAATGACCTCAGGTACATTAAAAACCTCCCTAATGAGGGGGACCCGGATATGCCACCCCAAAATATGCTACTTCAGCATAAGAATTCTTTTGAGCTGAAGGGATTTGACTTCCTGAAACCCCTTATCTGCCCAAAGCAGAACATCCCAAAAGAACTCAACTGTCATAAACCCCTTCCTGGGAGCAACTAATCCTCTTACACTTGAGAAATCAATACCACACCCAAACAGACATTGTCTCAAAATTACCTCCTACCTATTCTCCTAAAGAACCACTGATGTTTCCAAAAAGTCATTCCTGTAAGTGCCCTCTCTACTCTTGCCCATCACCTACTGAGTTAGATGTAGGAGTGCCAAATTCTAACCACCCCCTTTGAGTTACTCATGAGTGAGTTCTGTATGTGTTGCATGTTTACGTTCTATTTTTTTTCCATTCATTTATCTTCTCTCAGTTAAATATGAAGATCCCATAAGAGGTAGAGGAAAGCTTTCCCTCCCCTACACTAAGAATCAGTTTTCTCAGCTGTAAAATAGTGATGATGATAATAATAATGAATTGGAAGGATTTAATGAAAAAAAGTAAAGTGCTTAGCACAGTTCTTG